TTGATTTCTTTGCCAAGAAAAATAGAAAAGGAAGCAAAAAAAAAAAAAAACCAAAAACACACACACAAAAAGTGCAAGGACATTATTTATTTGGGTCCCACTGGAGTTACTGCTAGGTCTTACTCCCTAGAACAGCAGTCCTTGAAAAACTGCAAAAAAACTACAAAAGAAGATTGGAAAGAAAAACAGCAGAGTTGGAATATATCCACAAACTGCTGTCCACCAACACTGGGATGAACCATAGACATTGGTTTCCTGGCATACAGTTGTTAGCTACTTTCAAGTCGATCTCGACTCATGGCAACCCTGTGAATGAGATGTCTCCAAGCCCCCCATCCTATAACTCCCTGCTTAGGTCTTGCAGGCTCAGGCCTATGGTCTCCCTAACTGAGTCTATCCACCTGGCATGCAGTCTTTCTCTCTTTCTAGTGTCTCTTTATCTGTCCATGGTATCCTCAACACTCTTCTCTCACAGTTGTACATAGTAATAGGGAATACACTGACTTGAACAATTCTAATATTAGTGTTCAGCTGTATATCCTGGCATACTACATATTATAATACTAGCCAAGCCACCAGCCCCATGGGGCTCTCTTGGCCAATTCATCAAGTCTCCTTTCTGGTTCCCACACTACATCCCAATACTCATTCATATGATTATCTACTCAACCTGGCTTTAGGCAACCTCCTTCTTCCTGCCTTTGTACCCCAACAACCATTGTTTGTGGACTTCGAGTTCGCAGCCCCACTCTTTGCAAGAGGGACAAGTGGGGAGGGATAAAAAGGTGATGCGCACTTACGCGTGGCTCCCATGTGCACCATGAGCCCACCCACCATTATTTTCAATGGGGCTTGAATATTTGTGAGACACCATTTTCATGGGGGGGATTCAGAACGGATCCCCCATGAATTGGGAGGGATTACTGTATAGTCAAGAAATCAGAAGAAAATAAGTAAGTTTATCACATGGCACTTGCAGGAACAGGAATGGGGCAAGAACACATGTTATTGCATAGGAGAATATAACTGATGTCGCCGGGAGTCCCCAAGCTGTTCCGCATTCGTGCTGTGCCAGCCAATTTTGAAGAATTATTTTGAACCATTCTTAAAAATCAGCTGCCAGGAATGGCTGGTGACAGCTTGGGGACTCCCAGCAGCATCGGTGGCATCCTCCTGTGTGGTAACATATGTTCTCACCCCGTTCCATTCCCATTCCTGCAAGTGCCGTGTGATAAACTTATAGGGCTGGGAAGGACAGCTATGAAAGAACTAAACAAAATCCTAAAGTACAAAGATATAACTCTGAACACTGAAGTGAGGATTGTCCAAGCTATGCAAGAGTTGGACAGTGAAGAAAGCAGATAGAAAGAAAATAAATTGAGATGTGGTGCTGGAGAAGAATGCTAAGGATACCATGGACAGCCAGAAAGTCAAACCGCTGAATACTAGAGCAGATCAAGCCTGAATTCTCCCTAGAAGCCAAGGTGACTAAACTGAGACTATGGCATAACACAGGGGTAGGCAACCTTTCCCCTTTAAGGGCTGAGGGACTTCAGTTCCCAGAAGCCTCAGTCATGTTGGCCAATAGCTCCTGGGATTCTGGGAGCTGAAGTCCCTCAGCCCTTAAAGGGGAAAGATTGCCTACCCCTGGTAACATCTTCAATTTTTTCCTCCTGTTTGCATGATGAAGAAGCCAGTGTGACTGCGAAAGCGTGCACATGCAATTGTGCATTTTGGTTGGCCCAATAAAGGTATAATTGTTTGGATGTTATTGGATTTGTTATATGGTCAACACAGCTACTCCTAGATTTTTTTTAAACTGAGGCTGTCATACTTTGACTACATCATGAGAAGACAAGACGGAAAAGGCAATAATGCTAGGAAAAGTGGAGGGTAGTAGAAAGAGAGGAAGGCCACATATTAGATGGATATATTCTATCAAGGAGGCCACCGCCCTGAGCTTAGAGGACCTGAGCAGAGCAGTGGAGGGCAGGGAGGCTTGGAGATTCATGGAGTCGCCATGAGTCAAAGTCAACTTGAGGGCAGTTAACAACAACTGCAAGTAAACTGATAAAAACTAATAGTAAAAAAACACCCATGCCCTCTGTTACTGAGTCAGATTTAAGGTTCTGATTTCATATGTAAAACCTAAAAAAAAAAAAACTGGGACTAGGATATGTGAGAGAACATGCCTTCTCCTTTATCAACCTAGTCCATCTCTGAGGTCATTGGAAGTGGTCCTAGTGGAAGTTCCCTAGTGGGCATGATGAGATCTATTTGAAAAACACTGGGAAGAACAGAGTTTTGAGTGTAATGCCTCTCTCTCTCTGGAATTCCTAACAGCTGATTCAGGTATGCAGAATGTTGCTTTACTTCTGGCATCTACTTAAGATCTTTTTATACAAACATTGTATTGATTTGTTTTGATATTTTAAATATTTTCCTCTTGATAGTTGCATGTTCTAATTGCTTGTATGCCCCTGAATTTTTTTCTGCTTAAATCAACAGTAGCTTATAAAGCAAGTAAATAAATGAATTGTTGTTTAGTTGAGCATAGCAGACACAGAATGCTGGAACTGATAGGCTTTTGGGGCTATTCTTATTCACTTATCCCTGAAAAGTTGATAAACTAATTATTCTTCTGTAGCAAAAAATCCTTTCCTAAACTGCCTATAACTTGTTGCAAGGCTGTTTTTGCAGAACTTTGAGGCCTCTATATTCACTGGACTGCCCCTTTTCTTGGCAAAAGGGGTGTGTGAGAATTGCTTCTCCCAGAAACCTTTAGAACCAGAAATTAAGCTTTTACATAAACAGGTTGCATGGGGCCCTGCTGCAGCATAATATAAAAAATATATATGTTTTTTTTCAAATCCAGAACTGGACTTTCACCCCTTCCAGATTTATTATCTTTCATTTTTTGGCAGTCTGTGTGACCACCAGAAGATCCCAGGGGCAGAAAATGAATCCTCGCACCCACCACTTTTACTTGCTCCCAGTTTACTGAGTGAAATAAGCAGCATACATTAAAGAACTGCACCTGAAAGCATATCCAGATTTTTAAAAAATTATTCTGTAAAGAAATATTTTTAAATGAGTGGTATCTGAGAAAGACAGTTCTCCAGCAGATCTGCATGGTGTGCTAATGATACAAGAGTCTGATATGTTGACCACTTTCATTACTTGTGCTATGACAGATAAATGCCACTGTGTCAATGGCATCCTTGTTTATCTGTACAACTTCTTTCCCTTCTAATAAAGTGGTAGTTCCCTCCTTTCTTCTGATGCTTTTATACTATAGTGGGGCATGGATATATTTCTGTGCTACAGCACATTCTTTGGATGTAGAAGCTGTCACAGTCAATCCTTGGTATCTTCAGGTAGTGTTGCAAAAGACGCCTGTCTGGAACCCCAGAGAGCTGACACCAAGATCAACCAACAATCCAGTTCAGCATAAGGCAGTTTCCTGTGTTCTTAAACTGAAGTAAAATGGGTAATGTCTGCAAACATTAATGTTCAGTGTAATATAAGCAGCGGACAAAGTAACGGAATGAATTTTTTTAATGCCAGGGAGATAGGATTATTCATAGTCACGTGAATCCTGGAAGGCATGACCACAGATTATGGGAGCATTGAGAGGATTAAACAGACCAAATTTGCAGATAGAAATTATCCATTTTGATGCTGAAAAGGCTTGGGGCATTAAGACAGACTAGAGTGAAAGACAAACAGTCAACAGTTAATTCACCATAAATGTGTCACTGTGCAAGTTTTTAACTGGTGCTTGGACTCAGTAACAGCACAGGCTGGATGAAGATCAGTCAATTTAGCATGAATCCAGTTAAGCCAGGTGCAAGCTTTAAGAACAGGTGGTTCTTGTGTCCAGCAGTTCTTTCTTGCTGCACAATTATAGTACTTTGATTCCTCTTTAACTACCATGGCTGCATCCTATGAAATCCTGGGAGTCATTCTTTGAGGCACTAGAGCTCTCTGGCTGAGAATTCTAAACTTCCACTCGCCAAACTGCAAATCACTAGATTCCATCAGATGGAACAATGATAGTTAAAGTGGAATTATAGCACTATAATTGTATACTGGACAGGCTTGTTACATGTTCTATTTGTGAAAGAGAGGAAAACTGTACGCCAGATGGAGAAACTCAAACAGGGAGACGATGTGCGTGAGCCTACAAGACCTGAGCAGAGAGATAGAGGATAGGAGGGTTTGGAGACATCTAATTCACAGGGTCACCAGGAGTCAAGGTCTACTTGAAGGCAGCTAAAAACAAACAACAACAACAAAGCCATTCAAGTTGGGGGCCCTAAGGCAAATTGACAAGAGGGGGTTTACCCTTGCCTTCCTCTGAGGCTGAGAGAGTGCAACATACCCAAGGTGACCCAGCAAGTGGTAATTAGTGGAGCATCTGAGGAGTTTGAATAAGGCTGATGTATAAAGATGGGGGGGAAGGAATAAAGAGAATAGTCTTTCTGGGTTAGTAAGAGTGAGAAGTCTGTCAGCTTTAGCTAGTGAGTTGGGCTTGGAAGTTTGAGCAGATACAAGAGTTAGAGAGGGTCTGGGTTAGCTAGGATGTGAGAGTGAGATATGTGTTTTAATTGTATTAAATAATTAACTTGCTATGTTATGTTCAAATTCTGTTAATAAAATATTATTTTTGTATAATACAATTTTGGCCTCCAGGAATTATAGTAGTAGAAAGCTTGGGTTCAGTGTCTGTGGTGGTAGTAGCTAATAAAGAAGGGCAGTGTTCAGTGGGGACAGTAGATTAATAATAGCTCACACAAGAACCATAAAGGCATCTAGGAGGTCTAACAGTTGGTGGCCATGGCAGTGAGACAGAACAAAGTCCTTACATTGGTGGCAGAAGTGAAGATAAGGGAAAGTCCTCACATTTAGTGGCAGTGGGTGAGATTAGTGGAAGTCTTCACATTTGATGGCAATGGATATATAACCAGAACTTCACGGGGATAACTAGAAATATGATAGCCAGCATGGCTTAGTGGTTTGAGTGTTGGTCTATCACTCGGGAGACCAGGGTTCAAATCCCATCTTGGCCATGTAAACCCACTGGGTGACTTTGGGCAAGTCACACACTCTCAGGGAAAGCAATGGCAAACCTCCTCTGAACAACTCTTGCCAAGAAACCCCCCATGATAAGGTCACCATAGGTCAGAAACAACTTGAAGGCACACCACAACAACAACTATAACAACAAATACAAGGGGGGGGGCAGAAGTTAGACTAAAAGCACATTGAACCAATTAATAATAAGAACTGAACAATTTCTTAAATAGTTAAAACATGTTTAAACCATTGACATGTGCAAATTGGGATGAAATCAATCATGCCTCAGAAGTTTTATTAAACACCCATGGTTTTGTTTGGCACTGGAATGACAGCAGTGTTGGGGCCAATCAGGCCTCCAAAGGGAGGCTATTCCCTAACTCAGGGGTAGGCAACCTTTTTGAGCTTGGGGCCGGGTTGCTGTCCCTCAGACAATTGGCGGGCCAAAGCAAAATAATAAAATAATAAAAATAATAAAAATAAAATAAAATAAAATTTAAAAATATGCATGCACACTCTCTCAACCCCAGAAAAGCCATGATGGCAAAACTCCTGTGGAGATTTTGCCAAGAAAACCCCAAGAACAAGTAATAACAACAATAATCAATATCATCATGGCGGGGGGGCAGGACTGGCTTGGGGCCGGTTCAAAGGCCTCATGGGGCCGCATCCGGCCCCCGGGCCGCAGGTTGCCTACCCCTGCCCTAACTCATGCCACAGCATAGCAGGCCCTGTCCCATGTCCTCTCCCAGCATATTGCCCTGATTGATGGGGCACAAAAGAGACCCAATATCTTGGGCAAGCCACTATTTCAGGTGCCAAGGTCACAAGCCATGTAGAACTTTGAATGTCATTGCAAGCACTTCCTCTTGCTCCTGGTGGATGTTTGCCATAGGACTAGGATTTTTTTTTTACCTCCTCCCCACCCATACACATGTTTGTTTCTACTACACAGCACTAACTATATACATGGGCAATATAAATTATCTGCCACAAATTCAGTCAAGCTACAACTTCCTCAGTTTCTTCACTTTGTAGTATAAATATTATAAATCTGACCTATGTCACAGAGCTCTTTAAAGACTCCTATTATCATGTACATTTCAGGGATGGGGAGCATATAGCCTTTCAGATGTTGGTGGACTGCAACTCTCATGATCCCTTACAACTAATTATTCTTGCTAGGGCTGATGGGAGTTTAGTCCAATAACACCCAGAGGGCAACATGTGCCCCACATACCCTTTTATCTAGTGCTAAGCGCTTACATAAACAATATCATGAAAATAACACAGTAAGAATGAATGTAGATTGTAAAGACAAATGCATCCTTATTAAATACTGGCACATCTGTCTTGGCTTTGTAACATTTTCATAGTGAGTATAAAATGTAGTTAAAATTCTAATCCCATTTATCACCTCTGAGAGCAGTTATGGTGTGAGAAACAGCCTGAGGCCACCCCATTTAGACCACTTTTATGGCTGAGGATTTTTTTGAATCCTACATGCAAATATAACATGCAGATTGTCATTCATTTGTTCTGTAAAGTAATTGTTGTCAAATATTAAATGACAAAGACTTCAGTCTGTGGTGGCAGCAGAATGTGTAGGCAGGCAGACGAACACAAGAGAAGCAAAATTCACTTCTGAGTAAGTGAGCTGCATCCCACATTTGATATCTGAAAGAGCAATAACAATGTATGTCACATCAGTGCTTCCATCCTAAACAGGTATTCTCCAAAAGACATCCCATTGGTTTTGATTAAGATAATGTTGGTGATATAATTTATTTACATATAGCAAATAGGTAAGCTACCAAATTCTAATTACAATAAAGGAGGGGGGAGCTTACAGACAAGCTTGAGTCCCTATACACACACACACACACACACAAATCTTGTACAAATCAGGCAGACAGAACACCAATGTATTTCTTTCCAAAATGCAATTACTTCTCAACTGGTACAAACAGAACTTGGAATGAAGATTCTTAATGAGAAGAAATTAAAAGTAAACAGAGGCAATTCTGGTTCCAGTACAGCAAACAAAGCAAAACATTAAGACATGTTGTTTAGTATTTAGATTTACTATCCCTACCGCTGGATAATTCCTACTTCATTTTTTATTTATTTAGCCCTACTTGGGGATATCAAAAGCTAATCATAGGAAGGGACATGCATACTGGCCCCACACTCGTCTTGTTGAAACTGAAGGTTTGAAAATGAGAGCACCTGATCCTCCATGCAGTCAGAAATGCTGGGTGTACTCACTGCAGCTGGACTTTGAACTGCCTGAATAGGGCTTTGGTCTTTTAGAGGAACCTTTGTTTCTGTGCAACTAGAACACTGTTGTTGTTGTTTTAAAACTACCTCTTCTGTATAGCTGTAGCATAATGATCCTGATGCTGTAGCTGAGCATTTTGAAAAACTTTTATTGACAGAAATAGAACTTAACTAAATTCAACAGAACAAAATAAAATGTACACTCTGCCAGCATTCTTTAACAAAACATGTAATAAAACACCTTCAAGTTAAAATGTCATTCCAAAGACCGACATGAGCATCAGGTTTAATATTTCTGTGTATAAAAGACTGTAGGGCAGGAATGTTGCCATTGTACTTATTTTTTACTCATACTCAGCACTTACTCCCATCCCTCTTTAAAAGGCACACACTTACAGAAGGTGTGTCTTATTTACAGGCTGTCTGGGTAGTTGAATTGTAAATACTGAAAACAGTAAGAGTAGTGATTAAGTCAGTAATTGACTACATCTACTGTGTACTGTTGGGTGCCATTTTGATGTCTGCTTTAGGGTTCCCAGGTCAGGATTATATCCCTGGCCCTAAGATTTCAGCATCAAAGCTAAGACCTAGAAGTAACCCTTTGTGATGTCACAGGAGATGAGTCCCAGTGATGTCACAAAGGCAACCCCTGGTGATGTCATTAAGCATGGTGCTTTCACAGTTACGCAAAGTAATATAGTTGCACAGAATGTGCCATTCAAATGAAACACACCAAGTCTAAGAAGCAAGGAATAAACATATGCAAACCTTTCAAGCCAGCCCTCTTGCCCTGAGATCCCTCCCTCCACTGAAGAATAGGTTCTAGGAGGCTTTGAAACTCTCAGTGCTATATTCTGAGACCTGGGAACAAAGCTGCTTACCTATAATGTCTGTCCATATCCACTTTTCTCAGTAAAAGAGTCATAGCCTATTGTTGTTGTGTTGCTCCAAGTAATTTCCAATTGATGGTGACCCTAAGGCCATCGTGGGATTTTCTTGGCAAGATTTCTTCAGAGGGAGTTTGCCATTGCCATCATCTGGAGCTGAGAAAGTGTGACTTGCTCAATGTCACCCAGTGGGTTTGCATAGCCTAAGACTAAAAACTAAACAGCCAAAAAGAAGGTCAGAAAAGCATATAAAAGAGAGCAATCTCCCTCCCCTCATGTTATTACTATAAAACAGTGATAAGATTAAAAGCTGTGTTTATAGCGATGATGGCTGGGGCTGTTGCTACACTGCAGAATTAATGCAGTTTGACACTGCCTTAACTACCATCGTTCCATCATATGGAATATTGGGATTTGTAGTTTATTCTCTGGCATGGAAGATTAAATATTTCACAAAACTACACATCCCAGAATTCCATGACATTGAGCCACGACAGTTAAAGCTGTGTCAAACTGCATTAATTCTGTGGTGTAGGGGGATCACTGGTTGTCTATCTATCCTAAAACTACAAAATTGCACAGTATAGCTTCTGTTTAGTGTTGCTGTGCAGCTGCCTAGTTTGCAGAAATAGTACACTGATTATGCTTCCGTATTTTGCAGTCTCATACTGGAATCCTAATAGGGCTTAAGCTCCCCCAAACACAGTGGGATTTATTTCTCAGTAAGAATTAACCTTGCACTCTACAAAATTAAGAATGTGATTGTATGCATGGGTTGGAAACAAGCACCGTTTCAGACTGTTAAGTGCTAGTTGCCTTAGCCAGCGTAGTTAGTTGTGAGGAATGCTGGGAGCTGCAGTCCAACAACATGTTAGTGCTGCCCTTTGTCCACGTTTCCATTCGCTGTGACTGATTAGCTGAACATACATGGCTTGAAAAATGGCTGCGCAGATATTTTCTTCCAATTCCAGTGTTCTTTCCCATAAGATAGTTCTGACCTCACTCAGAAATAAATGATGACCACAAAGTCGATGTCCAGAAAGGAAGTCAGGGTATGCCTGTAATAATAATACATAGATTTTGTCATCAAGAGAAGCAGGTGAGTCCATAAAGGCATTGCTCTGGGGTGAAAATCATGCAGCTCTCTATATGTTGTTGGACTGCAACTCCCAGAAACCTTAGACAGCATACCAGTGCTGAAGAATGTGGGGAGCAGTAGCGTCATTGGGGTGGGGTGGGGAATGCGGGCCGCACCAGGTGACACCCCAGAAGGGGGGGTGACACCAGATTGGCTCCCCATGTGCTCCATGTATGCTGTTTTGGTCCAGCCGGGGGCTGCTCAGCCCCATGCAGAGGCATTTGGAGCCATGCTGGGAATTCCTCAGCCATGCACCGAGGCTTTATGGGCCACACTGGGGGCTCCTTGGCCCCACACAGAGGCTTTTTGGCCCAGCCGGGGGCTTTTTGGGCCATGCTGGTGCCTCTCAGGGCTGTGCGGAGGCTGCGGAGGTGTCACTTCAGCCCTCACGGGTGCTCCCATGCACCCCCTCTCCCCAGAAACCTCATTGGAAGTCCGGGTGTCACCCCATGCAAGAACACTACTGATGGGGAGTTGTAATCTACCAGCATCTCAAGTGCTCCATGATTCCATCCCACATGGATAGACACAATATGGGTGAATTTCTATTATACCAGCCAGATCTGGCTTTTCAGCTTGTTAATTGGTGAACTGAAAGATACAAGGGGAATTTTCAAAATGAAACCTAGCAGCATACATGAACTAATAACATATTACTGTAAAGTAAATGGACATTGGAGTAAATGG